ATCTTTTGGACACAGCTTCAAACAGGGCGTATGTCTACCTTTTTGACACTCATGCAAATCATGACTATGTCTACTTATTTGATACACATAAAAATCAGGCCTATATCGATTTTTTTGACACGGCTTCAAACCAGACCTATATCTAACTTTTTGACACTCATGTAAACTAAATACATTTCTACCTCTTTTAATTTCTTGCAAATCAAACTTATACTTACCTATTCGACTTTCGCGAAAACAAAACCTATGTATTGTTTTATACGACAATGTGACATTTATAGTTTATCTCAGTGTGTACCCGATAAATGATTAAAATTTGAAATAGTAAAATATTAACCATTGTCTACTGTAATAGTTCCGGATGGGCAGTACTGCATTATCATTCATTCATTTTATTCAGTTAGCGCATTTGACGCCCATTTGGTCACCACTCGCCTTCATCTGTCAAATATTGGTTCATGGTGTCATTCAAGGCAGAATAGCGTAATGGGTTTCCGGTTCCTTTTGCAATAAGGGATGTTGAGCTTACTCCGTCCTTCCTCTCAGGATCTAGTGGGACAAGACCTAAAAGAATGCAGGTGGTTTGAATTAAGAATTTTCCTCCTCTTAGACCGGTTGCCAGTCAAGTATATATGTCACAGTCTGTCTTACTATTTACCCACAGTTGGGGGGAAATGATACCGCAATACCTTTTTCTAGTGTAGTAACACCTAAGTGAATGCAATGAATTCGAAACATTTGAAAGAGACCATTGTCAAATAAATGGTCTCTTTCAAATGTTTCTTTAATCCGACTAGGCCGTCTTCCAGAGCGAGGCTTGACGGATAGGACACAGTCATAATTTGTAAACATTTTTCACCAGAAATGACATACACAAATCTTCATTGTATCCCTATACTCAGTGCAAATATATTAAATTGATCTGATGCAGTATGAGGAAGCATAGTCGAATAATGGCTAGCGACTCGTATTGAAGAATCGGAAAGACAAATTAAATAATTTTTACTTACTTAATTTTCAAACGCGCACCTCGCCTACTGCTTAAAGAAGCAGAAAGTGGGTTCAGCATTCTGAATTCAAATTCTTCCCGAGGTCTTTACGTTCACAAATATTAGTGGAAATAGTATCAAACCATTTCTTCCTTACTCCCAAGACATAGCTTAAAACGCAGTATAAACTAGACCTTCTTGCCTTGGTTGGTAACCAGTCTACGAAAGTGAATTCAAAGCTGCTTTGACGTTGGTTTAGAAAATCCACCTGGTAAAAAAAAAAAAAAAAAAAAATTGCTTCAGAACAAAGACTATTAGCTACAGAAACCGGGTTATATTTGACGGTATTTTACATGACTTATATACATGTTCCTTATTAAGACGAACGACATGGCACGTGGAATAAGAATAATCTACTCCTGTAGACTAAATAAAGGGTTCGGTTCGAAATTACAAGAAATATCACTTGAAAAAAGCCGGAGTGTACAACGGCCGAAACGTTGTGAATATGGCAATGAAGATGAGGACAACAGCCCGAACAATGTAAATAGTCACAATTGCTCATGTAAAAAATATAGACAGATTTTAAAACGCGTTAGAAAAAGAAAAGGGAATTGAACTGAATTGATAAAAATGTTTACCTTTATTATTATATTTTAATTAAAAAAAAAATATTCCGGCCTTTTCGGAAGCCATCTTCATTTTTGCTCAGGTTTAGCGATCTTGTGGTTTTATTACATTTTTGCTGGCCCCTTTTTCCGAAATATCAAAATGATATTCGTAAAATCTTGTCAGAAATTGTTAATATCTAAAGTGCTTTCTGTTATAGCCGATTTGAATTTAAAACCTTTTCTAGTATTTCATTTAAGATACGATCTTCTAAACGATTTATAAAATCTATCTTACAACAGATATATACATTTTCTAAATTGTGCTGAGTATGTTGCAGGACATCAATTGCATATATATATATATATATATATATATATATATATATATATATATATATACTAGCAGCATGGCCCGGCGTTGCCCGTGCTTCATTCAAAAATCGTACGACTCATACAGCAATCGCTATCACTTGACTTAAAATATTTTTGCCCTTCCTTGCCTTTAAAAGAGTGCCCTTTTCCGTGCTGATGCTGCTACATGCCTTACTTCTTGCCTATCTCACACTGCGAATTTTTTCTAAGCTCTATGTTAAACATTAAATATGTTACGAAAAAAAGAATAAACAAAATGAACACAAAACAATCAGGTTTAAAAAAGGACTCGTAACTGGAAAAACCGAATGAAAAAAGAATGTTAACAACAAATACTTTTCACACCCAAACCCAGTTCTGCGGAATCAGAATCAACGTTGAGTTTAAGCAAGCGAATGAGCCAATTGGAGTAAAGTGCCATGCAGATTTAAATTTTTCCCACTTGTGACGAATGCAGCTATCGATTTTTTGCATGCTAGTTAACATTCGTGTCAGTCAGCTGTTGGCTCTCACGCTGGCCAATAGAATCTCCCTGCCTATTCGTGGCAGCCAGCTATAGGCTCTCATTCTGGCCAGTAGAAAATGGCCGCAAACTACATGAAAGTGCCTTAGAAGCATGAAAAATCGGTTATTTCCATTATCGATGGAAGTTGGGAAATGCAAAGTCGGTCTTGGCCTTCTCGTTAACTTGGAGCATGTGCATGTAAATTTTGGTGCAAATCCGTCGAAAATTTCGGCCGTGCATTCGTTACACACATCCTGCCTTTTATAGATAGAGATATGTGTGTATAAATTTTAAGTAGAGTATATATCTAAAGGAGCAATATAAGTTTTTCTTTTGTATTTATTCAGAAATAAGTGTACATTTTTTTTCACCGAAGAATGGCTGTCTGTAAAATTGTATGAAAGGCTTAGAGCACTATGGCAGATTACTTTTTAAGGTGTAATGTTCCTTCATGACGTAAACGACCATATTTCTCAACAGCTTTCTTTAGTTTATTATCTCTTAATTATTCTCTCTGGGTATGACGATAAACTACATCCGTCAACCAGGTCTCTGATCGGGAGATTTGAGGTTTTGAGAAGCGGGGAACAAGATTTTATCTTTTCCTTGGCAATTGCTCTGACGATACATCAATTTTGTAAGATTTGTTTTCTCGTCAGAGTCGATCGTGTCCATTTACAAATCTACCAATTGTTCATGCATTGAATAGGGTTGCCATCTTTGGTCTGGTTATCCTGCTATTCATCTGGAGGTTCTTGATAAAATTCATGGAAGGATCTGTAACATAATGGATCCTGACCTGGCATCTCGACTTGAATCAGTTTCTCACCGACAGGAAGTGGCTTCCCTCTGTCTTTTCTACAAATATTTTCATAGCAGCTGCTCTTACGAGTTTTTTTTTTCCCTTGTTCACAGACTACATGAATTTAAGCTTTCTACTAGATTGGTATCTAGGCTCCACCCTTTTGCTGTTGAAATACTTAAATGAAAGTGCCACTTTTACATCAACAATTTCTTTTGTAGCACTTCCCAGCTGTGGAGCTCCCTTCCGGTTGCTTGCTTCCGGGATAATTACAATCTTCAAAAATTTAAATGCAACGTCAATCGCCATATTCTATCTTCTTGTTTCTCGTTCATTTTTTCTTCTTTCCCTACTACTTTCTATACTCAGTCTTTTCTCTCACGTTTGTTCCAGTTGTTTGGGTACGTTGTAAGTAATAGTGAGCTAGCCAAAATGAGCTGACTCATTTTATAGTCTACGAATAGAAGGGTTAACCAATCAGAAAGCTCAAAATATTCAATGCGACGTGTATAAAGGCAGCCATTTTGTTTTTTCCACCCAAATATCGTCACTGCCAACCTCTGATATCGAAGACTTAAAGAATTACTTAACAGCCGCTACTTTCACTGAATCTTCACTGCCAAACTCTGATATTGAACACATTACGGACTTCACTGGATTCCATATTCAGAGACTACGGCAAACATGGTCAACAACGTTCACTCCCTGTAACCCTTACCCTGTTCCCTTGTGGCATTTCCGCCTTGCTTGGTGTGAAATGATTAAAAACCAAAAAAAAAAAAAAAAAATCAAACCATGCAGAAGGCCCAATGACGCATCGGTCGAAATTTGGCGATAAGAATAGAAATGATAATAATTTGCCGACCAAATAATTCTTGGGAAATATGAAAGAATAGAATATTCGTAGAAGACATAAATGCGTCGAATATAACAAATCGAATTTAGATCTTCATAACAAGAAAAACATTAAAAAAAAAAATCGAATAAATTCACGCGCTCGAATCAATCAGGTTGAAAATAATCCAATATTTTTGTCAGTGCTATCAATCCTGTTATTATTTCGCAATATTTTTTCTCTTTCAGTCTCTCATTGTTTCATTCCAAATCTCTCTTTCTTTTTCTCTCATTCCTTCCAACCCCCTGCCTGCCTTGCGTCCTATTCTAGCTCAGCGAGGTCACAAGTCCAAATAGCTTTGTCCAGCGTCCGGTAAGTGGCAGTCCGTGAGCGTCTAAATAAATGGCTATTCAAATGATGGCAGACAAATAGCCTGCGCACGTCATGAATCATCTCTGTTTGTAGGCACCCATCTTTAAGCACTCTTTCAGTGGCAAAGAGTTTACACCATAGACCTCAAGCGATAAGCTGGATAAACCACCTGCTATGTTCTGAACTGAGTTCAGCGATATTTACCAAGCTTTTCTTAGTCTGGTAAAAGGATAAACGTATAGAGCACTCAGGGAAAAACTAAAAAATACACTGTTGTAATTAACAATGACCCTAGCGATGAATGTGTTGGATGCTGGTAGGAACCTAAAGTATTTACACAAACAAACTTAGTCTGGTAAAAAGGGTTCAGTAGCAAGCATTCTACTGTAGTAAGAGTATTTCACATTTTCGTAGAATTCCCGAAGTTAAGCAATGTCGACCCGGTCAGTGACTAGACGGGTGACTACTTGTGAATACCAGGTGCAGTAAACTGGGACTGCAGGATGGTATCAATTACGGCCATATCACGTTGAAACACCGGTTCACGAACGATCACTGAAGTTCAGCAACGTCGTGTTTGGTTAGTACTTAGATGGGTAACCACGTTGTAGGTAGTATGTCGTACAGACATATCACATTGAAACACCGGTCTTCATACGATCACCGAAGTTAAGCAACGTCGTGCCTGGTCAGTACCTAGATTGGTGACCGCTTTGGAATATCAAGTGTTTCACGGTTGAATGTGGAAGTGGATGTCGTCCGGACATATAAGGTTGAAACATCGGTTCTCGTACGATCACCGAAGTTAAGCAACGTCGTGCCTGGTCAGTACCTAGGTGGGTGACCGCTTAGGAATACCAAGTGTTTTACGGTTGGATGTGGAGTTGGATGTCGTACGGACATATCACGTTAAAACACCGGTTCTTGTACGATCACCGAAGTTAAGCAACGTCGTGCCTGGTCAGTACCTAGGTGGGTGACCGCTTAGGAATACCAAGTGCAGTAAACTTGGTTATGTGGATGAAATATCGTTCTCGTACTATCCCCGAAATTAAGCAATGTCAAGCCTGGTAACTAACTAGATGGGTGACAACTTGGGAATATCAAGTGTTGTACGGTTGTAATTGGAGGTGGATATCTTACGGCCATGTTACGTTGAAACATCGGTTCACTTAAGGTCACCGAATTTCAGCAACGTCGAACCTTGTCAGTATCTAGATGGGTGACTTCTTGGGAATTCCTAGTGGCATAAGGTTGGAAGACCGAGCGGTATGATTTACGGCCATATCACGTTAAAACACCGGTTCTCGTACTATCATCGAAATTCAGCAATGTCGTGCCTGGTCAGTACCTAGATGGGTGACCGCTTGGGAATACCAGGTGTTGTAAGTCTGAATGTAAGGGTTGTTTAATGGAGAACGACACGAAATTTGAAATCAGAAACCGAGTTCGAATTCGCATCGCGTCCTTTATATTCACTTACGCATAAATACCCTTGAAAAAGATATGAATCCAACTTTACTTCCCCAGCTATGGGTTACGTAGTATGGCTTTCATCACTATATCATTATTACCTCCAAAAAGGTCTTACAATCTAAAATTATTTTCTGGCTATAAATCAGCTGAAAAATTTGATAAAAAAAATCATTGACAATGCATAGAACCACCGTGGGTTAAATAGCAGGGCAGACTGGGATGACTAGCTGTGTTTAGTAATGAATCTAGGAAGGGGGAACAGATATTTTAAATCAGTATCTAACCCAGGGTCTAAATCACGGGTTTTCCCTTTGGCGAGGCATATGACCAGCTTGGATTAAATAGCAGGGCAGACTGGGATCACTAACTGGGATTAGCAATCATTCTAGGAGGGGACAACTGCTATTTCAAAACAGTATGTAGCCCTGGGTCTAAATCAAGGGTTTGCCCTTTGGCAAGGCATAGGACTAGCGTGGGTTAAATAGCAGGGCAGACTGAGATGACTAGCTGTGATTAGCAGTCAGTCTAGGAGGGGACAATTGTTATTTTAGAACAGTATGTAGCCCTCGGTCCAAATCACAGGTTTGCCCTTTGACAAAGCATAGGACTAGTTGACACATGGCAATGTCATACGCAGCAGGATATTGGATGCGTTCATTAGTCAAATCTAACAGAGTTGTGGCATCGAACATCAATGCAGAGCATATTTCATGCTGAACAGTGGGTGACACCTACTTATTCTGTGTTAGATGGAAAACTCCAGGGAATCACAGTGCCTCCTAATGCACAACCGAAACCCTTATAATGACACATCGAGGCGTCCAGACGGACGACTTCGCCTATCAGTTAGTTTTATAAACCTGTAATTATTACCGAACTTTCTATAAATTCATAATCATTAAAATAGCTTTATAAACATATAATTAATTCTAGATCTTTTTTGTGAGCTGTATACAACCGCTTTCTAAGATTAATGGTTAATGTTTCTTCTAATTTTGTGGACTGGCGCTACAGGATCATAAACCAACAAATGTAGCAAATAACGACATACATGACTTCAGCAGAGGCAACAACTAAAATGGATATAACATGTAACTCTAAGAGAAAGTAATGACATAACTAAAATGTTGACATTCCACACTACTTTAAACAAAAGGTTAGGAAGGAAACGTCCATCGATACTGGAAAGAGCGATAACAACTACTGGACTTGAAAAAATAATGACATATTTTGGCGTTCTACACGACTTAAGACAAAAGGTTAAGAAGGAAGCCCCCATTGATACTGAAAAGAGCTATAACAGTTACTGGACTTATGAAAATAATTCCATAATATATTGCGTTCTACACTACTTCAAACAAAAGGTTAGAAAGGAAATCTCTTTCGATACTGGAAAGAGCGATAACAGTTACTGGACTTGAGAAAATAATTCCATAAGATGTTGACGTTCTACACTACTTCAAACTAAAGGTTAGGAAGGAAACCTCCATCGATAGTGGAAAGAGCGATAACAGCTACTGGACTTGAGAAAATAATGCCAACGAAGAGGAAGGGGGGGAAAGTAATACGAGACGGGTCATAGGCGAACACACACACCTACACGGCTTAAGAGACGGGAATAAGGAAGAAAAGGAGTATTGTTGATAGGTATCAAATGTCGAAAATATCTAGGTCACCTACGAACAAGCGTTGACCGATTTCCGCTTATCCGCGAAGAATGGAATTGTGTTATCAATAGATGTCACCAATTAAGAAATCCATTTTTGAAAACGTTAGATTTTGATAGTGGACGAAACGCAGATGTAGCTTGCAGATTTGACTGGGTGTGGAAAATTAAAATCCCACACAAGTAGTTTTCACTGGCTAAGTTTTTCTTTTGACAGAATAAACTTTTGCCCTGCGATAATAAAGATTTTTGTTATCAACACATGAGCCAAAGGAAACTGACATATTTTTATTTTGCTTTGGAGACGCCAAGTTGGCTGAGATTTTGGAGAAAATTCCTTTCTTAGGCGATAAACTGCTTGACAAACGCCACGTGTTGAAACCGAGAGTTGTCACATCAACCGCTCATGATAAGGGCGATTTAATTAATTTTTTTTTAGTTAAGCAAGGTATTTCTTTTCAAAACAAAGCCACGGGTTGTTCACGCCCGACTAAGACGTCATTGGCCAAGTGGGTCGCATGACGCACGAAGGAGGAGGAAAGATACCCGACCAGGACCTCATTGGCCAAGTGGACCACGTGACGCACGAAGGAGGAGGAGGAAATATACCGGACCAGGACCTCATTGGCCGAGAGTGGTCACGTGACGCACGAAGAAAATCAGTCGACGCCTCTATCCAGAGTATAAGTATAAGAAGCCGATACGAAGAAGTGGGGAGAGCAGTTCACGCCCCTCAGAAGCATGGTGAGAGAGTGGGAGTGAGAAAAGAGTTACCAAAAATGGAAAAGAGTGGAAAATCCCTAACCAGAAATAAGAAGGGTGGATACGTATTTAGAATTATCGAAGAACCCCTGGCGCCGACAGACCCACCCCAGTTTTGACGGCGTCAATAAAAACGAAGCCCCACCAGACAGAAATCAGTTCAGCCAGTTCGTTTGGCCCTGAGTGCCGAGTTCGTTCGACCCAAGCTGGCGAGAAGAAGTTAGTTCGCGCACCGACGGCAGAGATGAGTGCCCAGTTAGTTCAGCCCCGGACGGCAGAGTGATGAGTGCCCAGTGTTGAAACCGCCTCAAGATAGCTGACCAGATTCACGCAAAATTTTGGACTCTTCTTCAACCAAGAACAAGTAGTTTGAAGAGCGACTTAGAACCAGACCACAGAAATAAGTTTTCGACTTTCGTCCAAAGACACACCAAACACAAATTTCTTAGAGAGCAGACAACTTGAAGCGTTAAAATTTGCCTAACAAAGCGTCGTGCCACAATCCACAGAACGGGTCGGGAGGTAGATACAGTCCTATGTACCGAACAACTAGACATAAAAAGTTTGTTACCTTTTTCTTTGATACTTTGAACTTTTCATTTTATTTTATTTTATACATATTTGTGTGTTATCACCCCCGTTGAACTCAGCTTGCATTACGGCCCCAACCCCTGTTTGATCTCGTCTGTCTAAAATCAATTCACAACGTGGGTAGGCAGACTGGAGATCAGTGCAGTTACCCTGGTAACCAGGCGTTGGAAGCAGGTTGGGAACGGCGAGCCTGGTATCAATCTAACCAGATTCCTACCCGAATCACCAAAAGGTTAAAACGTCACGTTTGGAGCAGCGACACCCGGACGGAGCAGCGACACCCGGACGGAGCAGCGAGGAGCGAACAGCTGACGCCGCGGCGAAGACGTCAAAATTGGTGCTGTTTAGGGACGTCACAACTGGCGCCGTGGTAGATCAGGATAGAACGTCACAGTTCGGCGCTGCGACCGGGGGACGACGTCACAAAGGAAACTCCCGTTGATACTGAAAAGAGCTATAATAGTTATTGGACTTGAGAAAATAAAGCCATAAGACGTTGACGTTCTACACTACTTCAAACAAAACGTTAAGAAGCAAACCTCCATCGATAGTGGAAAGAGCGATAACAGCTACTGGACTTGAGGAAGCTATTTTCCTGAAGAATTGTTTTAAGTCATAGATTTCATAAATTTCATCAGACATTGACATTGGCTGCTCGGTCAATGATTGCTAAATGTTTCCTTATAAGGATCCGGCTAACCCTAACACTAACCCTTGCCATGATATAGCTGATCGGTATCTGCTGTGTATATAAATAGACAGGTGAAATTAGAGCACACTGGGGTCGTGGAATTGATTGCTAGATAGTTTTCATTGGTCAACAAAGTTAGAAACTTGTTTGACATGCGAAGTAAGCGTTACTCTTGAATTGGACATTAAAACAACCCATAATGTCCAAGAATGGTTGTATGCTTTTCTCCTGATTCTCTACGGCTTGCACTTAACACCTACGAGGCTGACAGCCACGATTTTATTATAAACGTAACTAGTCGATACATTTATTTTCGGAGTGACAATTCGATATCTGACGAACGTCTCCCGTCCCTGAAATATCGATCCGGAGTAAAATTGGCAAATCCTGAATATTACGTGTGAGTAAGGATATTTGCTCTTACGCTGGTGGGTGAGTTAGTTATCGGGATCGATAATCTGACCTAAATCAAATATTCGCCTTGCCAAAATGAAGACAGGAACAAGTTGACGCATAATCAGGATAACTAGATCAAGTACGAATTATATATATATATATATATATATATATATATATATATATATATATATATATAAAAGTATTTATTAAAGAAAAGAGAGAAACCGCAAACGTTTTGGTTATGATGTGAATTTTTAAATATATATATTATACTTTATATATATTTAAAAATATCCATATTATAACGAAAAACCTTTTGCAGCTTCTCGCTTCTCTTTAAAATACGCAATTTTCTCTCGTTGTAACCTTTCCTTTATATATATATATATATATATATATATATATATATATATATATATATATATATATATGCAACCGTTGATAAATGACAATTTGATTAATGCGTTTTCTGTTAGTGCGCCAATTTTTATATACATAAATTCGATTAGTGCATACATCATACTAGACTAGTGCGATAAACCATTCTTCAGTTTAACCAAAGTAATTGAAAATTGAATTTTTAATAGTGACTGATGTACAAATTAGCCGCACTAATCAGGGGATTCCTATATATATATATATATATATATATATATATATATATATATATAAAAATAGAGAAATCGCAAACGTTTTTGGTTATAATGTAGATTTGTTTCGGCGTATATATTATATTTTATTCTTTATATATATATATATATATATATATATATATATATACAAAACCATTAAATAAGAGATATAA